ATTATCAAAATTTGTAACACACCGACTACTATGTCCGTAATTTTGGCCAGTGTGAACAAAAATTATAGTGCTAGTATGCAGCATCACATATCACGTACCCAGTACGTACCCCAAAAATTAAGATAAAAATCATATTAAAAACCAATAAAAGAGATCAGATGTCTCTGGCTAACATTTTCAGTTGCTTATAAATAAATATGTTGTCAAAAAATTTTGTTATTAAATATAGGTTCTAATATCACTAATATGTTCTATCAATAGGTTATATCAAATATATTATATGAAATGCAATTATAAAGAGAAATAAAAGATGGATATTCATTAAATTCTTTGCAATTTGGATCATTGACTGATTGTTTTAAGCGAACTTGACAAGTAAATTTTGCAATATTAATCAATGATGTCCAATGGGTAAAATCAAATATTCGAAACTTTTGTTTTCATCAAAGTTCGTTCCATTATAGAAATTATTTTCTAGAGGATTATTTGAAATTTGTCGTGTAGTAATCCTAGCGATTCGGTCAATGGTATGAGCATTGCTCTTCAGGCGAATTCTTGAAACACGGTTTTGTGTTACATTACTTAAAAATCTTGATGTTCTGCGTGTTCTTCGTATAGACGACATTTGATGAATAGATGAATAGATGAATATGATGAATTTTGTTATATTAAGTTTTTTATCTTAGCAAGGAAATCGATGATATGAGCTTATAACTCGATTCTTAAAAAACGTTTAATATGAGTAAGTTTGATACTATTTAACTTCTTTCACAAAAAAAAAAGAATTTTTTTTAGCTTTTTATAAAAATTATAAATCACTTAGTAATCAATCATATTAGCCTTTTTATTATTATTGTAAGTAAAATTCTTTAATAATTTTCGCGAAAAGATTCTAATTAATTGCACCAATAAAATCAATTGTAATCGGTTTTTTACACGAAATAATCATAATGGTTCAAAAGATTCGTGCGACTTTCTTCATTAATGTTACAAATCTAACAAAGAACTTTAAGATCTAACTATTAAATGCTTTAGTTTTGTTTAAAAATAGCAATCTTCAATAAATAATTTCTTTTTTCAGATATGTAAACAAAAAAAAATAATATAGCAAAATACAAAGAACATTTCATTGTATGTAGGATTAATTTAGCTAGAAGTCTACTAGTAGAACTTAATGAACTTTTATGGTTATTATATTAATCATGAGGTTTAATTCTTATTAATTATACTAACAAAAATTAAATTTGGTAATTATAATGAAATTTTACTTTTACTTTATAATTTGTATAATCTTACTTGAATGGGAAAAAAAGCCAATCATGTGTCTCAATTCTTTTTTTACGAATTTGGATACCGTTAATTTATTTTAAGTTCAATTAAGAATGTAACAAACAAAAAAATTTAATTTTATAATATTTAGGGGTAAACTTTTGAATTAACTTTAAAGGGTTTATTTAAATGTTTTTGTATTACAGTCCTTCATAGTTCAATAACGCGTACTATATGCAAAAGGACTATGAGAGGATCATACAATATACATAAAATAATAAATAACTAACTAATTGTACAAAAAATTATATATGTGGTATATGTATGTATTTATTAATACGAATTAAAATAAATTATACTATTTGTTATCGTACAATTTTCGAGCTCAGACCTTTTTTTATGCCTAAACTTTGTCCTTTGTGTCGATCAATTTTATATTTATTTTAGTCGGAATATTCATTCCTTTCCGTTGTACGTCATATCAGCAAATCATAACCTTTTTCGTGCAATAATAATCTTATTGTTATTGTGTTAAGAATTTTCTGCTGCGTCTGAATTCTTAAAACCACGTTTCCAACATAATTTCCGAACATCCTTTTTTTATCAGTATTTTGAAGAACTTAAATATGATACTTACAAAAGTATTTGGAGGATTTTTAAAAGCCTTCGATGACTTTTTTTTTTATAAAAATTTATTAATGAATAATATGTCATATACAGCTTAAAAATATTTGGATTTTTATATCATTATATTTAAATTAAGATATGTCGAGATATGTCGAGAATATGAATAGCATACATTGAGCTCAATAATGTGGAATATTGAAGACAGAATGAACCCGATAATTTTGAATGATTTGTCATTTTTAGACATGGTTTTCGACATTTTTAGACATCACCGGCCGGACAATAAGACAATAGAGCATGTATGCATATATAAAAATTATTGCTTTTTTAAGACCTTAGCCCGAATTTCTAAAAATTAAAAAAAGTTGATATCATATTCATGTTTTTCAAATAGAGTAATTAATCGCCAAATTTTTATTATGCATTCTGCCGGCTCCTACTGCGGTCAATTGTCATTGATAACTTCATAAGGAAATCGTAAAATGAAATCATAGAAGTCAAATAAGGAAGGTATTATAAAAAGAAACAATTTGAAAGAAATTATAAAAGGCAAAAATAAAAAGCAAAGGTGTGTATGCTAATTGTTTATCGATATGGAAATATGCTTATTTTACCGTTTCTATTTAAACACTCGAATTATGCTATTGTTTTATTTTCGTCGTTTACAAAAAAATTCAGAAAAAAATCTAATTTTTTTTTTCTAGCGAATAAAAAGATCCTTGAGCTGGAAAAAAAAAAATCCTTAGCGAAAAAAAAAAAAATAAGAAAAATAAAAATTACTAAACATGAACGAAGAAGATAATAAAAACGAACATTGGTTAAGTGAATGGTGCAACAAGTGCCGTTATAAATATATTGATCTTGTCGGTGATTTTGGAGGTAAATATAATATAAATTTATAATTATAATTATGATTTATGATTTATGCTAAAAATTTTATATTCATAATTATAGGTAGAGAATTGTTCGTAATAGAGGGTGATAGTTTAATTTTTAAGTTCATATATGATCCTAAAACCGACTTACTTAATTTTGGTCAAACTATTAGTGGAGGTCAATTTTTGGCTTTAACTTATTCGATCGAAAATCTTCTTAAAAAATTCAAAGAACGTGAATGCGTTTTTCATATCGCTTTTTTTGATGTCCATAAATCTATATGGAATAATCGACCAAAATTACGAATTGCAAGAGAAATTATTATTGATCACTTAAAATCTAATACAGACATTTCGGTCATTGAATTTAAAGATTGGTGGACTGAAGAATGGAAGAATTATTTAGACAACATGCAACCGTCATTTATTTTAACTGGTGATGGCTCAACAGAGCATTTAGAAATTAAAGCAGAAAAGGACAATTATAATGATGAAGAAATTGATAAATCAATTTCTAAAATTGCAACAAAAAACTCTTTAAAATTGACTATCGTGTTACGAGCATTTATGTTCTTTTCTCTTCACGACAGAGATAAGCCTGTCGCACTTTTACCTGGAATGGAGTTTAGAGATTCACGTGCACATGCTTATGTATTTGAAAGAGGTACTAATTCAAACAACGAAGCTCAAGAGAAGTCGAGTGTTATTAAAATTTTAATTATGAAAGCACTTGAAGTATACGATGAAAAATCAAATTGGTTTAAAGGTCCTGTTGAAAATTTCAAATTAACAACATTGAACAAAGATTTATTAACCTCTCAAGAATGTTCATACGTATGGTCAATTGGTGGGAAAAGGATCGCGCTCATTTTATTATCTTTGACGGGAGTTTTGTGCAATAATAATGAAAACCGAGATTTTCAATATTTAGCGAAAATATTTTTACTTCATGTTATTCTTTTGGATTATCTTCCTTTAAAACTAAGAGCTGCACAACCGGTTAGCAATGGAAATACGATTGAAGCTTTCCTTCAAAATTTTTATGCTTATAGTGCTAAAGTTTATAGGAGTGAAATTTTTCTTCAGGCAACTCAAAGTATAAAGAGAAATAATCTTTATGATTTTATAGATACACGACTTTTTGCGTCCTTAATCCAATGTCGATATGAAGAAGTACTAAATTTTAATGATCTTCCTAATGAAATTAAACAACAATTTGATGCGTGTTGGAATCTTTTAAGCCGATTTTGTGAAAAAAATGGGCTTAATTCTTTAGATATCGATTATATTGAAATTTTTAAAGAAAATTTCCAAATTGAAAATATAGAAATTAATTCAAGTTCATCGGTCGATAACCGAGAGACAACACTTCTTTCATTTAAACATGAGTTTTTTGAAGAATATTTTGAAGATATGAATTTGAAGATTCCCGAAGATTCAAATGTAAAAATTGATAAATGTCAATATGAATTAATTGGGAACGTTCAATATGAGGATGTCACACATTGGCATTCTACAAACCCAATCATTGTTACAAATAGATCAGATTCCCATTCCCATTTCAATAAAAGTAAGAATTCTTTTGAGAGAAAAAGATCTCAGAAATATGCGAGACACTTAGAAAGATGTGCGGCTTCATTAAATGGAACACAAGGATACTATACACAAAACATAATAGTGGCAAAAACAATTGGAAAATCATCAGGAGTTAAAAAAATATCTACTTGTGCAATAAAGGCAAAAAAGAAAATTGAAAAAGGAAGGCTACAAAATTCCTTGGAACTTTCTGAAAAATGTCTTGATAAGGCATTGGAAGAAATTTTAAAAGTTAAAAATATAAAAGAAAAAATTAATCTTTTGGATAACAAACTTGAAAAAAAAGACAAAATCACACATCCATTTATTATGTTTAGAGGTCAATTCAAGAAATTGGAATTCTTGATGGAACTTTGGGCCGAACATTGTAAAACATTTAACGTGAAAAATGACTGGATAATTCCTGTAGAAATATTGCATCAAGTATTTTATATAGTACAAAATATTCCAAATTATTTGGATGACAAGCGAAAGGAAAATTTAATTGAAGTTTTAAATCGACTTAAATTTACCAACTGTAAAAACAATTTGGAAAGAAATGTTAAAGTTTCAAATGAAAACAATGAAAATAATGAAAATCTCCCATCGTTTGATTTTAATTTACCTGAAGATTCGATCGATTTATCTATTGAAATGTCTGACGCTAGATTTCAAATGTTATACGCGGGTCATTTAATGGATCGAAATACAAATTCGATGGATGATCCGCGAGTTCCATTCAAGCCAGGTAATTTCTTTTTTTTTTTAAAATAAAAAAAAAAATTGATATAAGAAATTTTAACAATATGTAATTTTTTATTAGATGATTGGCAAGTTGAGGTTTTAGATGTAATTGATAAAAACGAATCTGCATTAATTTGTTGTCCAACTTCATCGGGAAAAACTTTCATTTCATTTTATGCGATGGAAAAAGTTCTTCGGGAAAGTGATGATGGAATTTTAGTATATGTTGCTCCTACTAAAGCTTTGGTTAATCAAGTAACAGCTGAGATTTATGGTCGTTTTAAGAAAAATTATAAACACGGCAACAAAACAACCTGGGGTATATATACTCGAGAATATCGCGAAAATCATGAGAAATGTCAAATTCTTGTAACGGTCCCACAAATACTTGAAATATTAGTCTTATCTCCGCAACGTATTTCGTGGGCTCGAAATATAAAAAGAATCATTTTTGATGAGGTAATTATTCACAATATTTGACCGCCGATTTTATTTATTTATTGTTTCTTTTTTACGTCAAAATTAACTAAATTTATTTATCTCCTTCAAAAGGTTCATATGATTGGATTAGATGGGGAAGAACATTATGATCGTTTATTGCTATTAAGCAAGTCTTCTCCAATTTTAGCCCTTTCAGCTACCATTGGGAATCCAGAAACATTTCATAAGTGGATAGCTAAATCTAAAGAAATTCATGGGCCTCCAATGAGACTCATCAAATCAACAAAAAGGTTTTCAGATTTACAACCATACGTGTATTTGCCAAGATTTCCATTAACTTTGCCTTCTAAGACAACAGTGAATTCAAGAGAACAACAACAACAAAGTAATAACATAATTCTCGTCAATCCATTATTTTCTTTATCAATGAACACATTAAAAGAACATGGTTTACCTAGCGACATGACCCTTGTTCCATCTCAATGTGTTCAACTTTGGAATGTAATGAAAAAACATATGGGCAATAATTCACCTGATGGATTTGATAAGTTAGATCCTGATATTTATTTCAGAGACATCGGTTATATTGTCAAAGATGATGCTGATAGATACGAACAAGAACTTAAAAAAGTTTTTATAAATTATGCAAAAGATGATCCTACAAATAAAATAATAAAATCAACTATCGAAGAATTAGGAACTGAAGTTAAAAATAGATTTATAGAACTAGAATCAACAGCTACTGATGGATTAGATGTTTATGGAGATAAATTTCCTGAGGTGGGAATTATGCCATTGTTATACGAGTTATCAGCACAAGATAAACTTCCGGCTATTTTATTTCATTTTAACAGAGAAGGATGCGTTGAACTTGCATTGCAAATTTTGAAACAATTAGAATTAGGAGAGGAGAAGAAAAGAGCCAATAATCCGGAATATCAGAATAAAAAGAAAGATGCAACATGTCAAAAAGAAAATCATGGGAAGGAAACAAAGAGAAAACGAGACTTAAAGACTAAAGGAAATACTACTCAGTGTGAATATTATTCGGAAATAGAAGGACATGATCCTGATTTCACTTTTATAAATCGAAAAGACCAAGTTACTTCAGAGGAGTTTGAAAAAATAATAGAATCAGCACGTCAAAAAATGGGAAATAATTCTAAATTATTGATGGCATTAGAAAGAGGTATTGGCGTACATCACTCTGGTCTTTCCAAGAAATATTTAAGCGCCGTTGAAATTCTCTTCAGACGTCGTCATTTACGAGTTGTAATTGCAACTGGTTCTTTAGCTCTTGGTATAAATATGCCATGCAGAACGGTGGTATTTGTTGGAGATTCAAATTTTCTTACTGCTTTACAATATAGACAAATGTCTGGAAGGTCAGGAAGAAGAGGATTTGACCCTATAGGTCATGTAATATTTTTTGGTATTACTCTTACAAAGATAAAAAGACTTCTTATGTCCGAGTTGCCAAGTCTTTCAGGGCATTTTCCATTAACAACAACCCTTGTTTTACGTTCTTTTAATCTTCTTAACCAATGTAAGAATCAGAATGTGAATGATTATAATTATGCCAAAGATATTATTAAAGGATTATTTGGTAAATCTTTTTTCTGTCTTGGTAAGGAATATTTATCTGAACAAATTAAGCATCATTTGAGATTTTCTATTGAGTATTTGATGCGCGAAAATCTTTTAGATCAAAATGGCAATGTAATCAATTTATCTGCCATGGTCTCACATTTATATTATGTTGAACCGAGTAATTTCGCATTTTCTAATTTATTTAAACATGGAGTGTTTCACAAAATTTGTTCGAAGTTGAGAACAAACTCTTCACAAGAAGTAATGGATGAATTGGTTTTGATTCTTTCTTACCTATTTAATAGAGTTAGATTGCGTAAAATTTCCAGAAACTTAAATACACATTCGAAATATCCTTCAAAAGTCATCTTACCTCCTTTACCGGAAGATGTTAATTATATTTTAAAGAGTCACAATGAACGAGTTTTGAATATATATACCGATTATGTCATAACATACGCGAGAAATAATAATTCTAAGTTGGGTCCCGATAATATCTTACCTTTAACATTAACCGAAATTCCTTTTAAGTCTATGGATCAAGCTTTATTAAAGGAAGATCCATTAATTTCTAAACTTGAATCAATGGCGATTTCATTTGTTGCTCGATCACCTTTTATTGCTATGTGTAGTTCTTTAGGTGATGTTTTTGTTGATTTAGAAGATTTAACAAATCACACTCATAGTGAAATATTTTTGGATCTTCATAGTATACCTTTTATTAAAACAGATGAAAATATTAATGCATATATATATGATTTTTTCTCTCACGGCCAAGAAAGAGCTCTTGTTGAAGCAAATGGATTAAGATTCGGTGAAGTTTTACAGGTATGTATTGTAATTCTGTTTTAAAATAATTTATTTGTTATTTTTTATAATCCATGAAATATTAACTTTAATATTAACTTTTTTATTTTTTAGGATTTATATGATTTTCGTTTGATTCTTTTGACGTTAGTTAGTTCTTTAAGGATTAGAATCCAAGAGATAAGTAAAAAATCAGAATTAGAAAAAAATTTGGTTGAGGAGGAAAAACTTGTTCTTGAAGGATTTGAGAGGGTTCTAAATCGGTTCGATGAAAAATATTCAAAATCTTGGAAAAGAAAATAAATTTAGAATCAGCGTTATTATATTATTAGAGTAGTCTTTTTATGGCTTATAAATTATTTAATTATTTAAATTAAATCATTTTATGAACTTTAAAGTTTTTGTATGTAAAATAAGATGTATAAAAAAAAAATAAATAAAATAAAATATTAATAGAACAATAATACAGTAACCGAATAACGAGGTCTGAGCGACTAACCAAAGTTGGACGTGAAAATTTTGGAGCAGCCGTTATTAATACGGTTGACAATATAAACATGTCCCTTCGAATTTTCACATCTAATAGTGTGTTTTATAAATTTAATAACATGATGTAATAAACAATAACAAATATGCATCAGCAGGTAAAGTTGTCAAGAGATTTCTGCAATAAATTATGATTATCGCGACTGTAATAATTTTTTTATCGTCTTCTCCCAATCCCATCATTTTTCATAAATTTATTTTAAATATCAGGCGAACATTAATAAACCTTTTAATAAGCATTTTCATGAATAGTATTTTGATTCAATACTAAAGCAACAGTATTTTCTTTCGCTACAAAATTATACTCATTATACATAGTAAATACTTGTGAATTTATTAGATACCCATGGAATAACAGACTTATCTCATTGTTATGACGTATACACCGATGGATTTTATTCTTTTTTATACCGGTCAAAAAAATTCATCGGTGTACATAATACTGATGGCCATCATCATGCAAATTACCCGCGTAATCTTGATGTGATCACATTTGACCGATATAAATCTAATTGAAATATATTGTTTTTTGAAATATTTTTTATGCCCCTTTTTAAAGAAAGAAATTTAATGATATATATAACATTGGACAATCTATATTTAAATATTATTTGTATCCCCATTTTTTGTATTATATAAGCGCAAAATAAATCAATACAATTAAAGATCCTTTGCAACCAAGCAATCCGATCTTAATTTGAGGATTCCTATTTAATTTCCGGATTCATTTATAATTGTCCGGATAAAACATCCTGGGATTACCGTTTGGATTTGTTAACGGACCTTGTTCGACTTAAATTATCGGATACGGACTTCCGTGTAATATTTTCGTCAAATACACTCCCCTGACGAGCATTGTAATAATCAGTTTTTTTATGAGTTTTGATTTGAAATTTCTCAACAACTTACATGTTAATTTATGTTCAAATTTTTTTATTGAAAAATCATATCAATAAACTTTTATTTACATCTATTAATATCGGGTAGGATTCCCTTTGGCTTTAACTACAGCTTAGACACGTCTGCTCCAGATTTTAATAGATTGATAGATTGATTCATCTAACTTAAACACTCCTCCTCCGACAAATTGAATAATTCAACCTCGTTTTTTGGTAAAGGGACGAAGACGCTCTAATTCATCCCAAATATTTCCAAAAAAAAAAATCAAACTAATATTTATAAAAAGACAAACTATAGAAGAGAGATGAAAAGAATAAAAAAAAAAAAATTTAAATTGATTATGAATNAAAAAAAAAATCAAACTAATATTTATAAAAAGACAAACTATAGAAGAGAGATGAAAAGAATAAAAAAAAAAAAATTTAAATTGATTATGAATTGAGATAATAAATTTATATTTATAAAAAGACGAACTATAGAAGAGAGATGAAAAGAATAAAAAAATATTAAATTGATTATGAATTGAGATAATAAATTTATATTTATGAAAGGCGAACTATAGAAGAGAGATGAAATCGATTGGACTTTGCGCCAGATATTATTATCTGAAATCCAACGCAAAGTTGATCTTGGAAAAAAAAAGAAAAAAAATAAAGAATTTAAAGAAACAAAATAAAAAATATGGGTAAAAGATTCACACGATGAATTTGAGAGTTATCATCTTGGAATATATAATTATTTTGATTGTCCAACCCTTCTAAATAAGGTAATAAGTGGTTATCTAAGACATTAATATAATCATTTGCGTTCTCTCTACCATGAACTTGAACTAGAGGTCATCAATGAACTGAAACATCCCCAAACCATGACACCCTTACGGCCTGATTTAAAAGTTGGAACTAAGCAATCAACATTATATTTTTCTTTGGGTTTCCTTCAAACATAATCACGGCCATCTCCTCTAAACACTTCAAACCGTGACTTGTCGCTCCATATAATAAAATTCCATTCTTCTTTCCAGTCAAGTCGTTCTTTTGTTCACTCCAAACGTATCTTACGGTTCCTTTCATTTACAAAGGGTTTTCTCTTACCAACTCGGCCACAAAATCCTTCTTTGTATAGATAACGTTATATAGTACGAGAACCATACATTGGTAGATGTTGATTCAACAAAATTTATTAGTTAAAACATTTAGGGAAGACTTTCTATCCTTTTTTACCAAACGAACAAGGTGACGTGTATCTCTTTCAGTTAGTTTAGGCTGTGGTCCAGGACGTGGAGGTGGTTTTATCTCACCAGTATTTTTGTAAAATGTAATAACTCTATAGACAATACATTTCTCAAAATTGATTTATAATTATAGGAACTGGGACTCCGCATTTCCATTTCCAAGCACCGATAATTTGATTATGCTCTTCCTCAGTAAGTTCTCTTCGTTTTATGGCCATTAGGACGGAAAGAAAAAATAATAATTACATTATGCAACAGTAGAGGTAAACCAAAAAAAAAAAAATTTTTATTATGTACTTTATATATAAAGCCCCTGAAAATCATTGCCGATTATATCTAATTTTAGTAATCCCCTGTCAGGTTAATGCGAATTTTACGTCATATCACTCGAATCACGCAAGTAACATATATGTCCTTATTAAAATTAGTGGATTTATAAGTTGAGCAAAAATTCGGGATCGATATAACGCATGTGTAATCACGCGATTTAAATAATACGATGCTAAATTTGTTTCTTACCAGGCGAATTATTCTTTAATTAGCAAAGTCAAAATCGAAGTCAAGAAAATAAAATAATGAAATTTTCTTTGAATTCAACATCTAATGGATATTTTTAGCCTTATTGATTCACGAAAACAGGCAGCAATAATTACCGCCTAAGATTTACACTTCATGCGCGAAAACCTTATAGATCTAAATGGCAATTTAATAAATTTATTGTGAATTGAAGTCCTTGCAAGAAGTAGTAATTAACAAATGAACGAATGAATCGATTTTAATTATTTCTCACCTGTCTAATAATATTAAATGGCGTAAACTAATATTTCTAGGTTTACTACTTTACCACGGAGATCAGATGATGTCATATTAACGAGTTCAAAATAATTTTCATATGAACTGTGAAACCCTTCTAAAACTATGAATACAGTATCATGGATGATGATTCAATCTTTGTTAGAGAAACCGAAGATGAATCCATGGCGACTTCATTTAGTTGTTGCTCGATCCCTTTATTACTACTATATGATATGTATGATATGTGTGATTAATTTAGTAGAACACAGTATACTTTTCATTGTAACATTTTTATGTATGTACGTACTGTGATGATTTCTCTCGGATTAGATTAAAAAAATAATCCAATAATTTATTTCGAAATAATCTTAATTTCCTTTGGTTTTTTTTCTTTAGTTTTCTTTATTTTTGATAATAGAAATTAGGTAATAAGTAAATTAGGATAAAATTTTCTTGGAGCCAGGATCTAAAATAGTTTGATTAAAAACGCAAAAGAAAAATTAAAATATTTTATTATTTGATTATTGAATTATTGTGCAATTTTTATATAGCATCAAAAATAAATAGAATAGAAAGGAATAATAATTACTAAAGCTCTCTATATTCAAAAGCCTAGTACTCCGGATAGTTTTGTATCTTCCCATCAAGATGCCTTATTAACCATGGCTTCCAAGAACGTCACCAGCTCTGAAATAAACTAGATCTAGTACTCCAACCGATTTTTTTCATTCTTTGAATGGATATGCAAACCAATGGCTAGACCAAAGATGTATTTAAGAGGAACGTGAAAAATAATTTAATATGCGGCGCCTCACATTATCATGCGTTTTGAACTCCTACCTTAACTGGTTTGAAGTTTAACACATCATGATTTCCCGTAGATGCACCATAGCACCGAATTTAATTATGTACTAAAAGACTCCTGGAATTTTTACACAAATATATCTATATTAATTAATATATATCTGAAAATTATATTTATTGAAAAAAAAACTCGGAAAAAGTTTAACCGGTCAACCGTATCATTGAGTGGCGTATTCATAAGTTTATGCATGTGATTGTCATCATTACTTAAACTATTAAAAAATTGGAAAAGATCAGAACATAATAGAATCAAACAATAAGAGCATTTTTATTTCTTTATTTTAAAATACTTATCATGCATAATCAGAAGATACACAAAGCCCATTTATAATATATTAAGTATTCAATTGTTTCGCAACATGAAAGAAATTCTTTCCCAAAGTAACGTGATTCATATATTTTGAATGAAACTTTGTTTTACAGAATGATTAGCCTTTTTTCCCCATATCCGAACTTTACCGAAATATTTAGCCGATTTAAATTTCCCTATTTAAACAAATTAAAAAATAAGCGATTTTTCTCTCGTTAAAAAATAAGAAAAGATGGGATCATACTTGGTTTCATCATGTTTGGAAAGAATCTTTTCCTATCTTCTTGAGGAAGAAGAAGAATTACAATGTAAAGAAAGTAAAACTAAAAACTACAAATTAATTAATTTGTACTCTTGCACATTAGTATCAAGATACTGGTGTAAAATATCAACTCCAGTTTTATATTCTTATCCTTTTCATAATTTTCGTAATATATCTTACGGTGTTAATGTTCCACTTTTCATATTTACCTATAAATTTTATAATTATTACAAACTAATTCGTACATTGCTAAAATGTATACCTCGATCCGAAATAAATAAAGGAAAAGTGTACAATGAACAAAAATCAACATCTCCACCCACTTTCAATTACATCTCTTTTATCCGTGGTTTAATTGTTGATAAACTTTTATTTGAACCCCAAGAAGTATGCATATATTATAAAGAAACGTGGTTATCTGACAATTATGATCCCGAAAGGATAACAACAGAGTCAGCTATTCAGATGATGAATCAATTTGTGAAATTCTTATTTAATAATTGCAATAACCTCGAAATACTTGAATTTCCTTATTTTCCAAAATTTAATGTCTTCAATAATGTTATTACTTCTTTAATTTCGACTAATAACAATGGAAACAATAAGATAGCAAAGTTGAGAGAATTTCACTTTAAAAATCATTCAAACTTAAAACCAATTTCACAAATTTTATCAACTATTTCCAAAAATTCTTATAATATAAAATTCCTTTATAATGAAGATATTAACAATTCCTATGTGGCAAATCATTTATCTCATTTAATAAGTAAACAGAATAACTTACGTTATTTGATATTATCAAAAAGTATCAATAGGTTAGATTCACCTAATTTACCCAATGTTGAGAATATTGAAGATTGTATTTTTAAATCACTATATATACAAAGGGATTCATTAAAAGTTTTAGAACTCAAAAACTTTTGTTTTGCAAATATGGACCAAAATGCGTTAAACTCGTTAAGCATGTTAGAAAACCTCTCAGAATTAAAATTAATCAATTGTAGCTATATAATGGCTATAAAATCTAACTTAATTTATTGGGCAAAAAATTTAACAAAGCTGGAAACGATGGAATTTAAACCGGCAATAATCTCAAATCCAGAAACTCAACAAACAGAATTAGACATTCCCGAAGACTTTTTAATTCGATTGTTTGAATCATCATCTCGCACTCTGACAAAATTAGTATTAGAATACGAGTATGACCAAAATATCAAAATAACCAGGAACATTCATCTTTTACGTTCGTTAGCTTATTTAGTAATTCCTGAAACATACGAATTAAATTCTATACTTCATTCTTGTCACAAGTTGGTTTATGTATTAATATTAACAAATAATATAAACAAACCAAAATATTCAGAATTTTATCGTTCCTCTGTGGATGAACCTTTTGTTAAATCAAAATTTCCTTACTTCAATTATTATTAATAAGCTTGTTTAATAAGTATGTACCGTATATCACGGGCCACAGTACCCCGGTTGGTTATTGCTGTACCCGGAGGTGTACGAAATTTTCTTATTATAGATGGGGGTTTTAGGGACTTGTAGTATATTCAGAGATATATTTAGATGTGTCGCCTAGGTAAGATTAGATTGTTTAGATAGTATAATCAAAAGAAAATGGAGATTTTTTTCAGAAAAGAGGGTACTATACATAGGGGGGTACTATGGCCCGTGATATACGGTATGCTAGATTAGCTTAATGAGAGTAGTATTTGGTTTAACATGACTTTGTAAAATATTATTTGTGTGTACTGTTAATAAAGATGATTTTAAAGGTGAATCTTGTTAAAGATGTTTAATTTACCTTATATTGCATTATATAAGTGAATATAATTTACATTCGAATTCAAGTTTTAGTCGTTAGACGCGCACGTATTGGGATTGTCAACTCATATTGCCAGTGACGTTATCATTTTCTCAAGAAATCTGGTTGTTCATCGGTAACCGTACCCAAAATTGGTCAGATATTCAGATTCTATAACGCAAAAATTTAAAAATGTTATTTAATGAAAATTATGATTTTTAACGAAGTAGTATTCCGATCCTACCACAGATATCTTTACTTATTCACAGGCGAAACTAGGGGACCTGGGACAGCTAACCTAATGTTGCCTAATAGTATACAGTAAGACCTAACCGCTTGATTTCTGATATAGTTACCATTTCGATAGCTACATAGCCTCCCTGCCGCCTCAGAATTTGTCCCTGATTAAGTACCCCTAGGACAGCTTTATTTGACATTTTAAAGTCTTCTAGCTATGAAACAATGGTTAGTACTACAGGGCTTTGTAATCGCGTCAGAATCATTTCTAGGGTATCATAAAATTTATGTTATGTCAGGTTGCCTTTAAAAGTGAAAAGGACATGAAGGCCACGAAGTGTCTGTAATGCCCGAGGCACGATTCAACAATCTCTTTTAGCATATCATTTTTTTTTTTTGATACTCTAGAAGTTAACCACTTCCAAAATAGTAAAATAGTACAAGGGCCAATTAAAAGGAGGTATATTCTGTCCGCCGTCGAAGTAATAAGAAGACTCTCGTAGACAGAAATTTTCGGTATGACGAAGCGTTTACATAATAGAGCATACTCCTTTAGGTTGAACTGGGTTTTCAGTTGCTTCAGAAGTAATAATAATAACAGGTTTAGTTACGATTGGATTCATTTTATTTGATTGAGCTTTTTTTATGTGAAGTCTTGAAAGTTTTTTTTTTTTGCTTTGTTTGATTATAAGACTTGAAATTTCCGTCGTTATTTGATGTGGAAATTTGAAAGGCGAAATGGAACCTTATTTATAATAAATGAGACAAACGAAAACGAAGAATTTATGGTAATACCGTACTAAAATTTGCTTTATCAGAATGATTTACATCTAATTACCTATTTTTCAAAGTTCTTTTAATGTTTCAAATTGTTATCGGATGACTTTATGTGTTTACGCCGATCTATTTTCTTTAAATTAGTTTGTACCAATTTTCTTTTTTTTGAATTGGTTTTTCTGAATGAAATTTTAATCTTAGAACATCATTTAAATTATGATTTAATTATGAACAATTCTTGTTAAGAACAATCGTGAAATGAATACAAATGTGAAAAAAATAGTAAACGATCAAAATATATCGGTTATATTTATGAATCTATAGTAAAATCACTATAAACGGTAAAAAATATATGAATCAGGTAAAAACATTATTCAAAGATTTACCAGTTGATGTATTATTTGATATTTATGGTGAGATAAAATTACCCTTTATTAAACACGTGATTTGATATGATAATACTGTAGTAGTAAATACTCACGTATAATGCTTAGATTTGAACAATAAAAAATTTTTTGCTTTTGAATATATTACAACGCTCGCTTATTATAGTTCAATTACTTATTCTTCGACTCGATCCAATTAACCTAATTTACATTGTTTTCTTTAATTGCATTGTCTTATTTAAATATTAACATCCTTAGTTATTTTTAAGTATAAAAAATTGCTTAAATTTTAAAATTATATTAAATAATTGTTATTTAAGTCGTTTAACGTTACAATCTTAAGTAGGCATAAAACAATCCTTTAGTATTATTCCGTTTAATAATAGAAAAACCTATGCAAAAGATTCAATTTATCATAATTTAATTTTGTTATAAAGGTTTCATTTTACATCATCATAATCATTTTTTTTAACAAAACATTGTTCAATCACTCAAGAATTCTTCCATTTACGTCATTGTTATTATAATTATTGCAACAATCTTTATAAAGTATAATATACGTTCCATTATCGTCTTTATTTATTTTTTTTTAAATGAAAGTGAGACAATGCAAAGATAAAGATTTAATTATAATAATAAATTGTTATCCTCCTGTCGGTCTTAGGAATACTACGACAACCAATAGGAACTAATGTTATTAATATATTATAGAGACAATCTATTAATCTATTCTATAGATCCATATGCAGTTAAAAAATAACGTTGATTTATCGTTATTTTTATTGGTCAATCATTCGATTTATGGATTTATTGCAACCGATCAGAATGCGAGCGAGGAATTACAAATTATTGCAGTCAAAATTCGTGTTCATATGATAGTAAATCATAAAGTTTTATCGATATTTGTTAAGATAGATTATAACAGCTTCTATTTACAAATCATTTCTCTAGCTCAAACTCCCATTCCTTATTTAAAGTCTCAAATTAAACTCAGTATAAAGTAGAAAAAAATGATTTGATAATATACAATTTTTAATCTTGAACATAGTACTGTATAATTCAATTATTTACCTTTGTTATGCTAGATTCAAATAAATCCTATACCCATTATAATATACCCGGGTATGAATAAAGCTTACTTTTAACTCATCCTAGTTGTGAATTAATTCGTATTCGCTCTGATTTCCTACTTAATCTGTTTTCTGTTTCCGATACGATCGGAGAGAAAATCAATGTCTTGTTACACCCCATCATGATCATGTGATTTAAAAAAAAATAGTATAAAAGTTCGATGATCCCTGAAATCTGACCCAACAATTGGGACAACAAACATTTCATGTTTTGTTCTTTGTAAAAACAAAAGGAACCTGGTTTTGGTTTTAAATTGCTTTATATGGATTCTCTTTTATGTGTTGGCTTGTTATTATGTATAAACAATAAGCACCACACTAATATTACCAAAAAATAGATCTCTATTAATAATTAGAAAAGAAATAAACATTAATGACGGTAAAATTGAGGAGATTGAATTAATAAACTTCGAGAGTAAATTCTAAAAACGATAGTCGAAGAGGAAACTATTTAATCTTTTACCTTCCTAAAAAGTTATATCTTTATCGATTATTAACACTCTCGTGATAAGTGACAAAAAGAAGTATTTACCTTTTTACCCTACATTATATCTCTCTCGTCCTCGCCAATGCGGTAACTGCGAAAGAGTTAGACTTAATGCGATTACGGTGGTACAGGCCTTCAGAGACATGTCAATTCTCTCAGATGAAAATAGTCAAATACTTTTTATAATACGGAACAGTTAGCAATAGTAGGTATCAAGACACTTGATTCATTTAATAATTATTCGTTCCAACTAATTAATGATCTTAATTTTTGGAGGTAACTGAAAACATCATTCAACCGTTATGTGGGGAGAGAGTACTGGAAACCTTACATTGACGACCTAGAAATTAGCCTTCAATTTATTCTCACGTATGGATGATAAGAGTTTGGATAAACTAAAATACGTACCTCAGCTGGCTAGAAAAACGCCTTCATGAAATCTTGTCCAACATTGACCTTTACGTGAATAATAAACTTTCTCGATTTCCGATTCAAGAAAATCTCTTGGAGCTTGAATCGTTCTTCTCTAAAGAAAACTTTCTGAGGAACCTTAACGGTAAGAAAAGTTATATTCTTACTAGGTGAAATTTATGCTTCTGAGGCTAAAGTCTATCTAAACAGAAGATCGGGAAGTAACAGTAATTGGTAGAGGTTTTTTTTTTTTTGATCAGCTTAAGTGGTTTATATTTTATAGACTTGATTCGTACATTTTTGAAATGTAAGTTCTTGAAAATGAAAAAAGAGAAGGTAAAGTTAAAATTCACTTAATTTGTCTCATTAGAACTAAAAATTTATCATACAAGCAAAATAATTAAAGATAACTTTGAATATTAGGCGGCTACCAAAGTAGCCTGGCGAGTTTTAAGGTCAAAAATATGATCTATTGCACGAAGACCTTTTGATCTTATAATTTATATTAACGTAATACAAATCTTCATTTTCAGGTTTATATTAATGGGACCCATGATGATGACCGCTGCTACTGAACAGCTGCCACAGCAAAATGCACAGCAAAAATGGACACAGCGATCCAAGCTCATAAATACAACGAACGCGATCATTTTACCGGTTTACTGAAAGTCTTTGTGAATTGTGGGTAAAAGTATACATGGAATTTGAAAGAGTAGAAGTATAAGATTTTTTAGAGGTCAAAATTTCTAATTATTGATCTTGTTTGTATGTTTCTTAGATTTAATATTACCTAAATTATCAACGTCACGTCAAATATAATATTGATGTGCGTGTAAGACATTGAGATCATAGGGTTGGGATGATATAAATTTCTTCGAGCATACCTACCTCAGTTTTTGGGTTAAAAGTTGAATTAGAAGTCATAGATTTAATAGATGCAACTAAATTCCT